AATCCACAGATTTCCTACATGCTAGCAGTGATCAATCAGAACATATAATGTGAAAAAGAATCATTCCAATGATTAGCAGACGTTATAAATTATCTAGGAATAAACAGAAAATGGCTACACTTACTATAAGAAGTTACTGATGAACATAAACTAAGGATTAAAATAATTGAATGATATATTCTTGGGCAAATATTGTAAAGACACTTGTTCCTGCCATATATCAGTGTCAGTAAATTAATGCAACTTCAATCAAAATCCCAATCTTACCTTAGGGGAAACTTGACATATCTTCAGGTTCTAATATATTGCATAAGAATAGTAAAGACAATTTTGAAGGGACGAAAGATAATAAAAACATATTACAGAGTTACTATAACTAAAACAATGTAGGCAGGAATAGAAAACTAGATTAATGAACTAAAAAGCTAAGTCCCAAATCAGACCCATGTATATATGACAATTTAATATTTGAAAAGGGTAGAATTTCCAATTATTGAAGGAACAATGGAGTATTCTACAGATGGTGGGGGGACAAATTGCCATTTGGGAAAAATAGTTGTTATTCCTCTCTCCACTTCCTATACCTAAGTCAATTCCTAATAATTTCTAGTTTTTGAGTGGGGAAGGCCTATCTCAACCCAATACTATTGCCCAAAAACATTAAGATAACATAAGTTACATGCCACAAAAATCAAAAGATACAAAATGTTATCCAATGGAAATTAAGTCTTTCTCACAGTTTGTCTTCCTAGATCATCAGCTCCTCAGTTATGAGAGAAAGACTGTTTTTAGTTTCTTGTAGACAACAGATTTAATCACCTATATATGAGAGACTTCTGTATTACCAACCACCAGAAAGTTGAAGTCAGAAAAACCTTAAAAAAATTCACAGCATATGTGATGAATAAAAAACTGATTTACCTATATAAGGAGATCATACTAATAAATAGGACTGCTTCAGCTGCAAACCACAGAAAACCAGTAGCCAAGATATGCACATTTAAAAATATTGATCTAATCAATTATATCAAAATTGTAAATGTGTACATTCTTTGATTCATAAATTCTACTTCTAGGATTTTGACTTGAGGACATAATTAGTCAAATATACAAAGATATATATGCATCATAGAATTGCTTTATAATAGCAAAATTTACACATAACCTGAGGATTGATTGAATAAGTTGTATATCCATACAGTGAAATACTATTATATCAGGAGACTTTCAACTACAGGTGGAAAAAAATGTATAAACTAAAGTAGGATTTATTACTCATGTAATAAGGAATCTTAATATAGGGTGGCTCCAGGGTAGTTAAATCTTTAGCTTAATGACATTATCAAGGACCCAGTTTTCTTCTGTCTTGACTTTGTCATCTTTAGTATGTCAACTAACTCTTAATCACATTCAGCAAATATGTACAGGTGCTTATTAACTGTAAAGTTATAATGATTAGCAAAGAGACACACATAGTCCCTGTCGTTGTGTATTTGCAGAGAATATACAATATGTGAAAAAGGTAATGGCATAGTATGTGCTACATGGTACCCTTTATGGAAAAGATTCATTTAGGTGCAGACATATTATAGTACCTAACCTTTTCTGAGTAAGATTATTATGTGATGTTCACCAAATGCCAGAGACTGTGCTAAGTACTTTATATGGATTATCACATTTCATCATCACAACAACTCTATTAATCAAATACTATTATTATCCAATTTTATATGTGTGTAAACTGAGACTCAGAGAAATTGAATCACACATTACTTGTGTCAGAATTTGAACTCATGTCTGTTTTATTCCAAAATCCATACTCTTAACCATTATATTAAACAACCTTTAGAAAAGTGAAATAAAAATACATAGAAAGAAATAGGCCGAGCTTTTAACAGTCATTTTCTTTAGGAACTTATGGTTGAATGCTGTTGGCTCCAAGAGCCAGGAAAAAGGGGGAAAAAAACAAAATCAAAGGGTACATTGGGGACTGGTTGATTGCCTAAAACGTCCTAAAGACGTTTAAAACAGGGCTCATAGGGAGAGTGAGCAACCAGAGCTTATAATCAGAATTCAGAGGCTGTATAAAATTTGGCAATGCTTCAGGATAGGGACATGTGTGTATTTTACTGATGTAAAGTAAGAGTCAAGGTCATTGGATTAAAATAGAGCAAGAAAACAATCATTTATTCAAGTATTTATAGATTATTCAAGCACCGAACTATGCTACAAGTTGGAGAAATACTGGTGAACATGATGAGTAAGATTATTCAGGGCCTTGTAACCATGCTAAGAAATGTAGGGTTTATTTGGATTTTGTTCTAAATGCAACAAGAAACCATCAGTGGATTTTAAGCAGAGGAATTACTTGATCTGACTAATGTGAAAAGATCACTCTGGCTGTTATGTTGAGAATGTATCATGGGAGTGGGAACAAGAAGTAGGGAGACGAGTTAGGAAGATAATGAAGTAGGTCAGGTAAGAGTTGATAGTTACTTGGACAAAGGTGATATCAATGGAGATGGACAAAAATGACAGACGTATATATATTTGAGACAGGGTCTTGCTCTGTCACCCAGGTTGGAGTGCAGTGGTGTGATCATGGCTCACTGAAGTGATCTTCCCACCTCAGCCTCCCTTGTAGTTGGGACTACAGGCATGTGCTACCGTGTTGGACTATTTTTTTTTTTAGTAGAGGTGGGGTATCACTAAATATATTGTCCAGGCTCAGACATATATTTTGAATTTAGAGTTGACAGTGCTGGATGATGGATTTGATATGAGAAGTGAGGAGAGTGAGCAATTAAGAATAACTCCTAATTTCTGTGAATGGTGGTGTCACTTATAGAGATGAAGATTTGGGTGGATGGAGCACATTTTGATAGACATTGATTTTAATATTGGATATGTTGAGTTTGAGAAATTTGTTGGCTGTGTTTAGTAGGCAAGTTGGCTGTATTGGTATAACCCTCAGAAGAGTGAGCTAGAGTTCCTGATTTTGGAATCAACAATGCCAAGATGGTAACTGAAGTCACGAGAATAGGTATGATTGTCCAGGGAGAGGAGAGGATAGAGAGAAGGGAGTTAGTTCTGTGACAGAACTGAGAACACCAAGTTCCTGAGAGACTTGATATAGGCAGCAATCATTCCACTAACCCTATGCTGGCAAAGTCCACTCATGACTTCCTGTTCCCTCAAATCCTAAGGATTCATTTTAGTTTGTATCTTTCTGAATGCACTGCTGCATTTTGATATTACTGTTCACACCATCCTGTAAAACTGTACTCTCCAGAATTTCATTGTCTCCCTGTAAGTTTCCTTTCCTTTTTCTGTGTGCCCTAAACTTTAATGTTACCCAGGGAAGACTAAAGAGTAAGACCCTAGGTTGAGCTATCATCAGTGACTTCTGGAGCCATGTCTTCCCTAGGATGAGGAAACTGCTTGCAACTCTTGGAAGCTCCACAACCTGATGAAGGTGAGAAAACAACCCATGCAGTTATCTCAGGAAAAAGAATTCCAGACAGAGGGAAAAGCAAATACAAAGTCCCTGAGGTAGGAATGTGCTTGGTGTGTTTGAAGAACAGGAAAGGAACCCACGTAACTGGAGTAAAATAAAGAGGGTTAGCAGTAGGAAATGAGGTTACAGAAGTGATAAGATGGAGATGGAATTTATTTCCAAGGGTTCTTCTGCAGGCCATTGGAAGGACTTTGGGTTTTAAGCTGAGTAAAACGTATAACCACTGGAGAATTATGAGTAGATGATTGCTTATAATTAATGTTTTATCAGGCTCCTTCTAGCTGCTGTGTGGAGAATAGACTGCAAGTATGGCAGGGGTGGGAAAGGGGAGATGACAAGAGTGGTAGCAGGGAGACCAGCTATCACAATAACTCAGACAAGTGATAGTGGACAGCACCAGTGAGTTAGCATTGAGAATGGTGAAAAGCTGTCATATTCTGGTTATACTTTTAAGGTAGAGCTAGCATAATTTCCCGATAGATCAGATGTGGACTACGAAAGAAAGGAGTCAAGGATGACACCAGATTTTTGGCAAAGGTAGATGAAAGGACAAAGTTGCCTTTTACTGAGAAGGGGAAGACTATGAGAGGGACATATTTGGGGAGGAAGATTAAGAGCCTGATTTGGGACCTGTTAAATTTGTGATGCCTGATAGACATTCAAGTGGGGATGTCAGGTAAGGAGTTGGTTATAAGGGTCTGAAGTCCATGGGAAAGAGACAAATTGAAGATAAAAATTCAGGACTCATTGGCTTATAGATTTAATATATAGTCATGGGACTGAATGAAGCCAACAAGAGAATTAATATAAATAAAGAAAAGATGACCAAGCCCTGGGGAGCATTTGAAGGGGAAGAAGGTGTTACATTGTTGTTTTTCCCTTTCTTCTTTCCTTCTTCTCCCCTTCCCTCCCTTCCATTCCCTCTTAACTATAAGTGATAAATCTGTATAGAATTTAACCTACTTATGCCCAGACTCAGAATCCATTATCTTTTTCTTTTTTTTACCCTCCTGACATGTGTACTATCAATCTTGGGAAAAGTGCTTAACTATTGTGTTCCTTGTGTTCCTATGTCAGTGCTACATTGTAAGTTATCCTGGCATAAAAAGCATGCTGTAGTAGGATTTGAAGAAGCTGAGGCAATTTAGCCTGGAAAAAAGAAGACTTTCCAGGGAACATAATAGTTGTAATCAACTACCTGGCAACAGAATTAAGATTCTTGATTAAAAATCACCACGATGAAGATTTAGGCTTGACAGAGCCAACTTTTCTCGAACTGGCATAGGCTCACCAGGAAGTAGTGAGGTCCCAGTGAAGACTGATCCAATGGTCAGATAACTTTCAAAATTCATGTTCTCTGGCTTTGAGATAATGGTGAACACTATCGTGTATGGTATATGTCACACCTTATTGATATCCTTGGTAGTAGTTGCTACACTGTAGTAACAGATTCTGGAAATAGCTATAACACACACTTGGAATCTCACAGTCACGTAATCAATCATTTTACTAAATACAAGCATATTTTCATTCACATACAGCTAAATAAAGCATTTTTCACATTTCATTACAGTGCACAACAAAGTGAGGAAAAGTATACAGTACATTTTATTCTGAAATATGAGACAATCTAATCCAACATGCAGTTGTGGTCTTTGTTACAAGTTAGTTTATCTTTTCTTTACCTATGTAGTAAAATAGCTTCTAAAGCTTTATCCTTAGTATATTAACACCTGATTTTTCACACTTATTTTCTAAAACCCACTTATTGCAGTAACAACGGTACTGAATTCTACTAAAATGATTTTTAAATTTTCTAGAACATATTTAAGCAATTAACCTCAGCCACCTCTACTGGATTTATGCTGAATATTTTTAAACCTGCCAAAAAATGCCAGGAGTGGGAATAGTATACATATAATCAATTTTAGTCAAGAAAATTGTAGAGAAGTTTTGTTTCCTTTTTTGAACTGACAGAATCCACTCAACTCTCATTTACCCACTGGATAATCTTCCTTTCAGAATCTTCTGAACATAATTAAGTATAGCAGTTAATGAAATTTTGTGTTAATCCAATTTTCCATGTTTTGTTTGTCTTTTAAAACCATGAAGGTGGCAATTTAATTACCCCACCTAAGTCAGCTCTTGTGAAATAAATATAGAGAAGATGATCAGTTCACTGGTAGTTGATGCTGGGAATTGATCCAAAGTGGTTTTCTCATCCAACTTGGGGCACAGGTGGCAGAATAGTCTTCCATCATTTTCATTATTTGGCTTCTTTATTCTGGCTGAAGCAAATTCCCAAACTTTCAGATTCAGTCACATTTATCCTAAAGTTCAATATTTATCCCAAAGTGATTTGCCATTCTTAGGCCTTCCTATCACAATGAATATGAGAAAACTGACTCAAATCAGAATAGTTTCTTTTTAATTGTGAAAAGTATGGCTTTTGCCTAGCTGAACTGGCTACAATCCAAAAAGTAATTTAAAGCATCACCTCTCTTCAACAAAATAATGGAAACTTCAAGCCAGCCATTCCAATTTGCTGATGCAGTTAGCTGTTTGTTCACCTGAGAATTAAAGGCTGACTCTCTTGGGTAGACAGGAACTCAGTGTACCTATATGGCAGACAGGTGGCCAAGGTCATTGTGGTTTGAGTATTTTATCCCTATCCCCCTCCCCATTGCTGTATGTGGTTCCTTTCAATAAAAATCCACTGTGTCTCAGTGATAAGAACACTTATAGACCACAGAGTTCTAATGTGTTTTTAGTTGTGCAATTATTCACTTGTTTAAAGTCCTCTTGTCAATAATACCTGAATGGGCTTTACCTTTGATTCCTTCCCATGTTCCCTCAGGATTATAGCTAAGTTGTAATCAATAAGGAAAACATATCCTAACATGTAGAGAACATTTATTTACAGTCATACCTCTTTCCAAGTAAACAAATTAATAATCATGTATTTATCTGACAGCAGTATGATGCAGTGAAAAGAGCTAGGAGTCACAAGTCCTTGACCTTGGCCAAGTGATTCTCATGGCTCTTAGTTTACTATTCTGTAAAATGGGGCAAAAACCTCATCTGCCTGTTATGATGATCAAATAAGTAGCTCAAGTAACTGTAAGCTGTTGTAAGGGTTACAGTGCCTCCTGTTCAGCAGGAGAGAGTGCCTCAGCGCTCTTTTCAGAGGCAGTCCCTGTGTTGTCATTGTCAGGTGCCTGAAGAAGCAAGCAGACTGTTTACTTCCAGATTGCAGGTGCCAATGCAGTGAAACCCCAGGCATGGTCAGAGGAAAAAAGGGGGTATGGCATGTGGGTTATAGTGTCTCTTCCCTACTTATAGGGTAATTTGCATGGGACCATTTGTTTCATACAGCTGGTAATTCTATCACGAGGGTGTTCATTTTCTCAAATGTGCTAATAACTGTGAGTAGAAAGCATTTCTTTTCATATTCACATCATTTTTACTTGAACACCAGACCTTTTGGTCTGTGTTCCTCTTTTTACAGATAAGTTGTTAGAAGATAATTGGTACCTTTTGACCAAACCCAGCAAAAACCTTTGGTGCAGGGTATTCTCACTGAATAAGTAGACCTCATAGTCTTTGTTTAGCTATGCTGAATGTCCCCAGTGTGATACTCTTTTCCCCTTTACATATTTCTTTATGTTCTTGGCCTGTAAGTGAGCTAAAATGCCAAGGAATAGTTGTCCTGTCTGTAGGTATGTTTTCCTGGGACTTAGCTTCCTAAACCCCAGGCCCTTAACATTTGGTTCACAAAGGGCTCATGGAGCAGCCACTGCCCAGCCTGGGTCACAAAACAGTGCCTGGCCTGGCCCATGTCAACAATTCAGTCTCTTGGTCACAGCACTCAGGCACCCCCATCCATCCGCACACGAGTCTGTCAGAGTCCCCCTGAGAAGGAGGCTCACTTGGTATCCAAACGGAGGTTGAGTTCTCATCAGTTACACAAAGACTCTATTTATTTCTCTTACTTTTCAGTTCAAGTAGGAGAGCATGTTTTGGAAATGAAAGAGCTGACTAGCACAAACATCTCCTCTCTGATTTGACAACCTCCTCAGAAGAGTGAACCACATTTGGTACAAATCCACTCTTCACCCCTTCCCAGCCCTCCTGAATTGTAATCTCCCCCCTTTTAACCAGCTCATATATGTCTCTTGTCAGGTCTGTGAAGGCTTTCTCCACATTAATGGCATCTCGGGCTGACGTTTCAATGTACTTCATGCCGTATGCAGCAGCCAGTTTCTCGGCCTCGTGGCGAGTCACTTGCCTCTGTGTATCCAGGTCACACTTGTGACCCACCAGAACAAATACAATTTGGTAGGGCTGAACGTGTACTTTGGTCTCTTCTAACCACTCATGGACATTCTGGAAGGACCTGCGGTTGGTAATGTCAAATAAGAGAAGACCACCTACTGAGTTCCTGTAGTAGGCGCGAGTGATGGATCTAAAACACAAGAAAGAAGTAAAGAATAAAGGCCATGCCCAAACTTCTGCATGTCAATGAACTCGGTGTATTCAAGTGTTCCTGGTTATTGACACAGTCCTTCAAAAAAATGATTTTTTTTTAAACAAGGGAACACAAATGCATTCCATAATAATACTGATATGTGACTTTCGAATCGGGCAAAACTTTGGGATGGGCATCTTTTAGAAAGGAATACTCATGAACTTTTAGGCATTTTCCCTGGATTCAGCACTGGAGAATGACCCTGGGACATGACTTAGTTCTATTTTTTGTCTTCAGGTAAAACTACAACTAACTCTCCCACCTCCCAAATCTGAATAACTGACAGAGGCTTCCTTTTCTGCAAAATATACTGAAGTCACAGTGTTACCATGAGGCAAAAGGAAACAATGGACATTAAAGTATTCTGTGATGTGGAGAGTTCATTATAAATGCTAGTAGTTGAAACCGGATTTTTAAAACATAGAAATGAATTTATGATAGTTAACAAAATATTTAAAGTAGATATCTTGCTATATACTCCATTTTTTTCATTTATCATTACCATGTTTTTCTCTATTATTATTATTAATTATTATTATTATTAGCTAAGAGGGGTCCTCAATCTCTTCTGTGAGGAGAAACACAATTTTATTTTTTATTTTCCAGGCCTGTGGGAATGCGAAAAAGAGAGACAGTGAAGGGTTCAGGCAAAGTGCCTCTCAGCCCTATTTCCTGACACATTTCAGAGAGGCCGACTCAGGAGCCATCAGAAGAAACTTCACATGTTTTAACTTCTGGACTTGAGGAGCCTCATTATAAATATACATTATGGCACTTTGCTTACAGTGTAGTAAAGCTTATTACAGGGTGTACACCTATTTGTCTCTGCAATCACTTGCTTTAGACTACTGTGATGTTTTGATCTATGTCTATTTTTAGGTTTTCTGTCTCTACTGATAAAGAAGATAGACAATGAAATACTCAATAGCTTAGGGAAAATGGCCCAATGTTAACAGAACAAGCATTGTCCAGGGACCTACAGTTCAAGCTAGATGATGGTAAAAGTAAAACTTAGAAATGAGTTTTAAGTCTCCAGAATCAGGTAAATCAGCATTGGGGATTGAAAGCATTTCTTGTCCCTTAGGTTTGACGTGAACAAACAAAGGTTTTGATTTGTGAAAACCTTGAATCAAGAAATCAATAAGCAAGCTGTAGATCACTGTCAAACCTCTGGAATATATTATTACAGTAATTGTTTGTGAGTACTTAGCAAAGAAAATGACAAAGGCCTTTCTAAGCATGGACATCAGGCTACATAAAACTCAAATTCTTCCCCAAATTAAAAAAGTCTTAAATAATGTGAAAAGACAAATGATAAACTAGGAGTATATCTTACAACATACACGACAGGAAAGGGTTAATATTCTTAATCTATAAAGAACTCTTACAAGTCCATATTGCCCAATAGATAATAAGAAGTGGATATGAACAGGCTGTTCATAGAGAAAGAAATTCTAACAAACACATAAAAGATACCTTTCTTTGCTTAGGAGAAATGCAATCACAAGTTCAAAGTGAACCTGTACAAGGATATTTGCCACAGTGTTGTTTGTGGAAGTGGGGAGCTGGAGCAACTTAAGTTTGTAATTACTTCTTCTCCTTACCCCTCTTCAATTACCCAACCAGTGTCTTGTATGCTTAATTAGTTTTCAATAGGTAAATGAATAAATGATCATAAACATGAGCTATTGAGTTTTCTTGATCTGGTTCCTGCTGCTCTACTTGACTTTAGTTCAAATTGTTCTCTGCAAAGTTTTCTGTGTACACTCTGCTCCCTCTCACTTCTGTCTTTATTCATGCTGTTTCCTATCCCTGGGCGTTTCCTGTCTTTGCTTGGGCACTCATACTCATCCTGTTTCATCTTCTTCAGTTAACCTTTCCTCCTCTGTGTTCGTACATATAATAACAAATAATACATGGTACAAAAGAAAAGCAAAGGGTTGTGAGCGAAAATAAATATATTCATTGATTATTCAGTGAATTGATTGATTGAAATTAAACATATTCTTTATGTGCCAAGTGTTAACAGTAGGGAGTGGGCATACAAAGATGAGCAAGATAAGCTTTTGTAATTGCTGATTATCTATTTCCCTCAACTATGTTAGCACAGAAGTTCCAAGAATTAAGGGGCTTTGTGTGTTCTGATTACATGGAATCCCCTTGTGTGAGTTTCCTCACACTGTTACCCCAGAAACAAGCCCAGAGCATGGCACATAGTAGATAATCACTGAATGTGTGCTGGTTGCAAGAAGGAATCAACCAATTCATCGTAACTATTTCCTTTATGTTAGAACATATGTTAGCATATATATGTGCACACACAGATATAGGAATAAAACATAATACACGTGTATTTGTGTATCTAAATCTCTGTCAGTTATGTTAGGATGACCTGGGAACATTTTAAAAAGTATATAACATAGGGACTGAGATTGATGAATTACAGATACAGAGATCAATTCCATCTAATTTATTAGCCACCAAGGGGCGGGTTGGTGGAGTTGTGGTGCACGCAATATGCATTATTGACTGGCCTTCCCTGCCAGGGAGCTTCATTGAACGGAACTCCCAGTTAGCCGAAGGTGGGCTTTGGCAGAATCCCCTAAGACCCTTGGAGTTGCCCTCTTGGACCGCGAGTAGGACCAATGAGTCCTCTCTCCCCAGGGGTTGCGCAAACCCCGAAGACCCTCCCATTGCTTGCGGGCCCGGACTGCGCTCCCACCTGAACCTCTCTTGACCCGCGGTATCCCAGATCTGGAGCTTGATGCGTTTTCCTGGCTCGATCTCCACCAAGCGGGAGAAAAAATCCACCCCCACGGTGGGGTCAGAAACCTGGGCAAAGCGACCCTCGGTGAAGCGGCGGATCAGGCAGGACTTGCCCACTGTGGAATCCCCGATGACAATGAGCCGGAACTGGTACAGCCAGATGGCCTCCATGGCCGCGGCTGGGCAGGTCTCCTTGGCCCGGACCAGGGACGGCGGGAGGGGGCGCGCCGCCGACGCCTCAGAGAGCGCGGCTCGGCCGGATCTAGCTCTGCCGCGAGCGCATCGCTGGCCTGGGAGCCCGAAGTCGGGTAGGCCCAGGCGCTCGGAGAGCGGAGGGATGGATGCTGCGCTCGCAAAGGTGATGAAATGGCAGCAGCATCAGCACCACGCACTCTGACTCATCACTGACAACCGGGTTACTGTAATCCCGCGCGTAGACGCGACGCTGGGGCCGCCGCACTGTCTCTAAGAGGAGCGCACACAAAATGGCTGCAAAATTAGCGCTTTCCCTGCCTTTCTAATTACCCCGCCCACCCTTTGATGACTAAAAATGTTCCCTATCGTTCAAACTGCAAATGTCATACCTTTTTATTGAAACTAGCAAAGCAATACAAAACTGTACGCAAAAAAGGGAAGGTACATAATTACATATTAGTCTACATGTGTTTCCATGCTCACATAAACACACAGATTTTAAAAAAATTATTTATTATACTTTAAGTTCTGGGGTACATGTGCACATAGTACAGGTTTGTTACGTATGTATATACACACCATGGTGGTGGTTTGCTGCATCCATCGCCCCGTCATCTCCATGAGGTATTTTTCCTAATGCTATCCCTCCCCAATTCCCCCATCCCCTGCTATTCCTTCCCTAACCCCCACCGCCGAGGCCCCAGTGTGTGATGTTCCCCTCCCTGTGTCCGTGAAACACATGAATACTACATGTGTTTGTATTCCTATATACATTTACTGCTGTTTGTTTTTACAAAAGTTAAACCAGGGCCTTACTTTCAATTAATAATTGCTTTTTGCAATTAGTAAACCATCATAAACACCTTTCAATTTCCCCTTTGTCGTAACAATGCTTCAATAAAGATTCTTTAAAGTGTAGCCACACATATTTTATTTCTATGACCTAGAGTCTTTTTTTTTGGAGGGGGGGCCGCGATGAGAGGGAGATCAAATGTTAAAATATCACAGTTTATACATAGGCATATGCCAAACCATGAATAACAGATTAATAAGTCACTTTTAGAAGCAGTCAATTTTGAAATAATTCAAGATATAGTTATTGTAATTATTTAATTGTCATAAATTTCTCAAGTTCTCTAGGGCTTTTTTCCTATTCTCTATACCATTTTATTTTTTTTCATGTATTTTTTTTTTTGCATCTTAGGTTTTGGGGTACATGTGAAGAACATGCAAGATGGTTGCATAGGTACACACGTGGCAGTGTGATTTGCTGCCTTCCTCCCCATCACCTACAACTGGCATCTCTCCCCTTGCTATCTCTCCCCAACTCCCCACTCCCCACCGTCCCTCCCCTATTTCCCCCCAACTGACCTCCCTGTGTCAATGTGTTCTCATTGTTCAACACCCACCTATAAGTAAGAACCTGCGGTGTTTGATCTTCTGATCTTCTGTCAGTTTGCTGAGAATCATGGTTTCCAGGTTCATTCATGTCCCTACAAAGGACACGAACTCATCGTTTCTGATGGCTGCATAATATTCCATGGTGTATATGTGCCACATTTTCCCTGTCCAGTCTATCATCCATGGGCATTTGGGTTGGTTCCAGGTCTTTGCTATTGTAAACAGTGCTGCAATGAACATTCGTGTGCACGTGTCCTTATGCTAGAATGATTTATAATCCTTT